GGGCACATGCCTGGGTGCTGGGCCAGGCCTCCAGTGGGGGGCGCTCAAGAGGCAAACACACATCGATGTGTCTCTCTCTCTTTCTCCCTCCCTCCCTCTCTAAAAGTAAGTAAATAAATAAATACTGCTAAAAAAAAAAAAGAGTCCCCATCAGAGAGAGATGCTGGGCTCATGGCGTGGGGGGTGGGGGGGGGGCTGCCCCCTCCCCCCAGGAGACCTGGCCTCTCTCACCTCGACTGCCTTGGCCAGGATGGTTTTGGGCAAGTAGTCGTTCACGGTGGCGCCGGCCTGGGCGCGGACGGCGCTGCAGAGTGTGTCCACCGCCCGCAGGAACTCCAGCTTGTCCAGCTCCGACTAGGACAGACCGCGCACGCCTGCCCTCAGCCTCCTGCGGGCCACACCGGGGCCGCTCCCGCCCGCCCAGCCCGGCCCGCAGAGCAGCCGGCACGGCACCCGGGCCCCCGGGCCCCCTCCGCAGCAGCCCGGCCCCCTCCGCAGCAGCCCGCTGGGGTCCGTGGGGCTCAGGTTCTGCGAGGAACGCCCTTTCCTACAGATCCGCCCGGGGCCCAGCCCCCCCAGATGCCGGGGCTAGTATTCAAAACCCAAGGAGGAGGGGAGACACCTTGTTTGCTCTCCTTCCCCACTCAGCTCTCAAAGCATTCCCCGAGAGTCCCCTCACCACGGCTTCTCGTTCTAGGAATTCCAGGATGAACCAGTAGGCTTCTCTCTCTGACTGGCGAAGTCCTGCAAGGGAACGCCACTGGCTCCCTGGGGTGGCACCGGGGAGCACAGCCACCCCACCTGGCCAGCCCTCTGCCCGGAAGGCTCCGGAGCCAGCGGGGGCGGTCCCAGCCCGAGAACCAGCTTCTGCAGGCCCACGGCCCCGCGTTGCCGTCAGCAGCCCCCAGCAAGAGGCGATGACGCGGGACCCGGGTAAGCGGTTTTCCGAGTCAGGCAGGGCCAGCGAGGAGATTGCAGAGAGAGAGACCTGGGGGTCAGCCCCCGGGGCCCCAAACCACTGGAGTTGTCCTCCACGGGCTGTGAAATTCTTGGATGTGCATGGGCTTCGAACCCCAAACCAGCCTTGGAAACCCCCTCCGGGCAGGCCTCCCTCAGCAGGGACTGAGTGTCCATGCAGCGTCCACTCGGGGTGCGAGGCGGCTCGGGGGAGAGGCTAGGAAGGGAGCCTGTCCACCCCAGGGCCCATCAGGAAGGGATGAAGGAAGAGGGCGGAGACGGTGTCAGTGGGGACCCCAAGCTACACGGGCCACCAGGCCATTTCCCGTGGCCTGCAAAGTTGCGCCTTGGGGTGGGCCTGGAAGCCACAAGTCGGCAGTTCAGTGTCAAACCGCCAAGTTCAAAGCTCAGGCCTTCCACTTGATTCTCCCCGTGCCCTTCAGCAAACAAAAGCCTGGGCTTCCTCGCCCTGCCTGTGCGGGGGGCGGGGGGGATGGAAAGAGTTCATTCACGCACGTGAGCAACCATCCCTGCCCGATCACCCCCCGCCCCCGACCCCACCTGCTTTGTCTCAGCTCGGCCAGCCCAGCTCGGGCGTGGCCGCCACGTGTCTACTAGTGTCACGAGGGGTCAGGGGCTGTGTCCGCCCTGCAGGTGGGGCCAGCGGGAGCAGCGACGGGCCGGGGGGTCTGAGGGACAGACGGCAATGGGGCTGGCCTGAGGAACGGACGCGCTGAGTGGCACTGAGTCGGGTGTGGGGCGGGCGGGCTGGGGGCCGGGAGTGCAGGTGGGGGCGTATTAAACAGGAGACCCCCGCCCCGGCTGGTGAGGCTCAGCGGCTGGAGCGTCGTCCCATAAACCCAAAGGTCGAGAGTTTGATTCCCGGTCGGGGCGCACGCCTGGGACGGTGGGTTCGATCCCCCGGGGGGCGTGTACAGGACGCAACTGACCGGTGTTTATCTCCCTCTCTCCCCCTCCCCTTTCTCCAAAATCAATACATGCACCCTTGGGTGCACTTTGAAATTGCGAGGGGATTTTTTGAAAATTTTAAGCGACACATAAAGACGGGAGACCTCTGCTGGGCACCCAAGGGCGGTTTGGCTGAGAACCTGGAACTCAGACACTGATCCGGGAGCCGGGCGGCTCTGGAGTCGGCTGGGTGGGGTGTCGCTCAGACAGAGCCCGGCCCCCGCCCGGCTGCGGGGTCTCCAGCAGCCCCCTCTGCAGAGGGACAGGCGGGCAGAGCTCGCAGGGGATGGAGGCGGCTGCGCCACCGCCACGGCCTCCACGCGGCTGTCGCGACCTGAGGCGCGGCCGGGCGGGGGGCTCACCGGTCAGGGGAGGCTCCCAGGACACATGCCCGGAGGACGGCGAGAAGGTCACTCTGCTGGGTTTGGGCCTGCCGGGGTCGGCGGGGTTCATCTGCGCGTGCAGGGCGGTGGTCCGCAGCCTCCGGCGACCGTGGGAACCGGGCCAGCTGGGCCGGGCCGCCCGCTCCTTCCTCCCTGGGCACGCGGCTAGTCCACGGACGGCGAAGAGGCAGGAGGCAGGGACGGGCCCTGTGGACACAGGGAGGGGCTGAGCAGGGCCCGGCCGGGCCGCAGCGCCGGCCTCCCTGCGCCTCCCCGTGGGGGCACGGGGGGGCCCTCCGAAGGGCCCGATTCACCCCGGCTGCCCGGGAGTCTCCCACTCATTCGGGGGACGGTTCGGACTCAGACGTGACCTCCCGAGTGGCGGGTCCACCCCTGCGCCCCCCGTTCGGAACCCCAGTCTGCCCCGGGATGGGTCCCCCAGGCCGCCCTCCCAGGGAGGAGACGGCCGCTCTCCTCGCCCGGCACTCGGGGTCCCCGGAAGAGCGTCCCCTAGCGGCTCTCTGCGTGGGGGTCCCACCTGGCTCCCCTGGTCCCCCCTCCCCCGGGCCGCTCCTGCTCTGTCCTGGGGCTGGGGAGCTGCCGTCCCCAGGAGTCCCCCACGCCGGGGGCGAACTCCGCACCGTCGTCTGAGACACGTCACCAAGTGCCGCGTGTCCCCGACGGGGTCAGGCCGAGTTGGCTCCCCTCCCAGCCCCCGCCCCCCAGGAACGGACGTGCCCCGGGCCTCGGCCGGCCAGGCCCTGAGCCGCGAGGACCCCTGGTCCCCAGGGCTGGGCACCAGGCGTGGGGCTGAACGGCCAGCCCCCGCTTTAGCTGGGGGGGGGCACAGGCAGGGCCCCTACCTGACGCACCGGCACCTCAGACTCAGGCACGAGTCCTCCTCCTCCTCCTCCTCCTCCTCCTCCGGGGACGGCGCTGCAGGGGGCACCGTGCTGCGGGGGGCACCGCACTGCAGGGGGCACCATGCCTTCCCCGGGGCCGGGGCGACCCCTGCAGGGCAGATGGTCCCGGTGGAAGCTCCCCTCCCCCTCCGTGGTCCCTCTTCAGAGCACCCCCCACCCCCCCAGGAAGCCCCCACGTGTCCAGGTTTGCAGACAGGCAGCAGGGCCTGCTGGACCGGCCGGAGGAGCCGGAGACGGAGCCACACTCACCGCCGACCACAGCCCCGTCCGGCTCCGGGCCGGGAGACCCGTTCCCATCCTGCAGGGGAGCCGCGGGCAGCCCCCCCCCATGCCATCCAGCCCACCGAGTGCCCAGGACCCGGCCGCGTGGCCCCCCGGCGGGCACCCCGAGAGCCGGGCTGCCCGGCGCGAAAGAACGGTCACCCAGTCGGCTCGGCCGGTCACAGAAAACAGACTTTATTGGAGTGTTTGGCACGAAAATCCACACAGGTGCGCCCCACCGCCGAGGACACGGCCGGCACCTTCCAGGACCAATAAGTTAACGTGAAGGACGCTCAGGTGTGTGTGGGCAGGTGGGGTGCCCCACCGCCCCCGGCTCCGCACCCCGGAGCACATTGGGCGGGGAGGCGGCGGGGCCGGGGGAGGGGCTCAGAGACAAACTGGGCGAGGACAACATCCAAAGGAGGACATTCGCGCATGCAGGTGCCCCCCTCCCCTCAGCCCGCGGACCACCGGCCCCCGGGGCAGCACCGCCTCTGTCCAGCGGGACAGCGGGGCCTCTTGGGGGTCAGGCATCGGTGTCCCGGAGGCCACGGCTATGTCCGTGCCGCCAGCCACATCCAGGGGCCTCGGAGGGCAAGGATCCCCATGGAGGGGGCAATCAGTGCCTGGGGCCGGTGCCTGCCTCCTCGGAGCAGGGCCCCCCCACCCCCTGGGCACCGCGCCCGGCAGCAGAGGCCCCGGACAGGCCCCGAGCAGGGGGACGGTCTCAGCCAGCCACCCAGGCCTACTCAAGTCCCAGCTGCCGGGGCGGGTCGTCGACGCCCTTTGGCGTGGGCACTCCCCGCTGCCGGGGAAAACAAGGGCTGGCCCTGGCACCGGTCCATTCTCAGGGCCCAGGTGGGCGGGGCGGGGCGGGAAGCGGGAGGGCCGTGGCCCCGCCCACCTGCCCTCGAGCACACCGCAGCTCCACAGTGTTTGTGCATGTCCACAGCGTTTGTACGGGGCTGGTTTTCGGGGGTGGATGCCCCGTGCAGGGGTCACAGTGAGCTGTTCTGCAGCCAGCACCACGGGCTGGCCCCCAGCCCGGCCTCCTGAGGCCCAAGGCTCAGAGGCCGGCCGGTGCTGGGAGCCCACGGGGCCCCAGAGCAGTTAGTGACGGGGACCCCGCGGGGGGTCTGGGGGCGGGGGCAGGAAGACAGGCCTCCACCAGGACGCAGACCGGTCACCCTCGCTCGGTGCGTGCGTCACAGAGCACAGTGTCGGGGGGCAGGGGCTCCCCAGCCAGCACCGCTGTGGTGCCCAGGGAGCTGGGGAGCAGGGCTGGGGGTGCCGGCTGTTCTCAGGGACTCTCTCGGAACCAGAGGGTGCAGTGCGCAGTGTGGGGGCACCCGCCGTGGCCCGGGCTGCCCCGCACCCCGCCACTCGGGCTGCGTACGGAGGCACGCTGTGCGGGGGGCCTCGGGGCCGGCCGGCCAGTCTCTGAGGAGCACCACCACGGGACAGCCATCTTGAGAACAAACGACAGTACAAACCCACAGACCAGGACTTGTGAACAAAAACTGGTTTAAAAAGAAAAGGAAGCCTCAGCTCCAGGCCATCGGCCGGCGATGGGGGCGGGGGAGCTGCGGAAGGCACAGGAGGGGTCGCAGCCCCGCCGGGGAGCAGCGCGCTCTCGGGGCCCCGGGCGCCGGCCCCAGCTACACCTGGCTGATGATCTCTCCGTTCTCGGGGACGAAGACCTGCACGGGCGCCCCCTCGGGCGATCTGCGCAGCACACACACGGCGGGCACCTGCTGGGCGGGGGCAGAGGCGGCGGGTGAGCAGGCCGGGCGGGCGGCCCAGGCAGCACGCCCAGGGGCACCGCTCGGGTCCCCGGGACTCCCGGCCGGCACCAGCTTGCCCCCGCCCCGGGAGTCACTCTTCCCCCCTCCCCCCCAGCTGTCCTAGGGGTGTGACGGGCGCCCTGACCTCCGACCCCCTTTCCTGAGCTCCTTCTCAGCACCCTCCCTGTCTGGCGGGTTGGGCCGGACTGGGGCTGGGCCACCGGCGGGTCCGGGCTCGCAGGGAGGGCAAGGAGGAGGGTGCGGCCCGGGGCGGCGCCGGCTGTGGCCAGGCCTGACGCGGTGGAAGGCGGGGGACACCCACGTCCAGCCGGGCCTGCCGGTGGCAGCGAGGGTCTCGGAGGAGCAGCCTGTGGGCTACTTCAGGAGCGTGTCCCCCGCAGAGCCCTCGGCCCCGGGGGAAGCAGAACGCACTGGTGGGTGCTACCCCCGCTCCAGAGTGAGGAAACTGGCCACAGACCCCGGCAGCCGCCCCACATCGCAGGCCAGCGTGCTCAGCCCCACAGGCTGCCCAGCCCCGTCCAGGCCCAGCTGTCTGGTGCTCACAAAGGCCCCCCCTCCCCCGCCCGCCAAACCTCTCACACCCAGCCACTCAGTGCAAGTCCTCGACAGTCTGGGGTGGAAGCGCTCCCTCCCTACCCAGGGCTGAGAGCCTGGGCGTTCACCTGCCTGCCTGTCCACATCGCCAGTGAGGGGCAGGGCTGAGGTGTGAACCCGGACGGTCTGCCCTCGGCTCTGCGCCCTTAACCTACACGGCGCCCTGCCCTCCAGCTCGCCCACAGGCAGGGTGCCGGTGAGGCTGCTGGCCGACAGGCTGCCCCGGGCTCTGGCTTCGGTCGACCCATCCCAGCGCCCCTCTGTCCTGGCCCCCCGAGCCGGGACAGCTGGGGGGCGTTGATGAGGGCCGCACTTCGGTGAGGCCTCAGCTCTTGGGGGGACCCTCTCCCGTGGTGTGCGTGGGCTTGTGCTCGTGAGCGGGACACACAGCCGGGGCCCCGGGTGCCTCCCAAAGCCACGAGGCGATGGTGCAGGCCTGCCTGTCCAGCTGGCGAGCTCCCGGCCGGCAGGCCGCGGGGCTGGCCACCCCCCTCTGGCCGGAAGGCAGAATGCACGGGGCCCTCACCTGTGTCCGGGGCCCCGGGGAGCACCCCAGGGGCAGGCTGCGCAGGCGGAAGGCGCCCTGGCGGTCCAGCGAGTGGGGGCGCGCCCCCCGCAGGCGGGCTCGCTCGTGCCAGGACTGCAGCTCCTGGGTCACGGCCGCCCGGCAGAGCGCGCGGCCGGCGGGGCTGTCCTTGAGGGAGGGGGCGCGCGCCGGGCGCCCGCGGGGGCGCACGTGCTGCTGCAGGTGCTGCAGCTGCTGCAGACGCAGGGCCAGCCGCTCCTCCTCCAGGGCCGCGCGGCCGGCCTCCTCGGGCGGCAGGCAGCCCTCGGGCAGCAGCACGTACAGCTCGGCCGGGAAGGGCCCGGGGGGCAGCAGCAGCGAGGGGCGGGGGGCGTCCGGGCCCCAGGCCCCGGGGTAGCCGGGCGCCCGGGGCGGGGACAGCGGCTGCAGGGCGTAGACGTCCGGGCTGCTGCTGCCGGGCGAGGTGGCGTGGGACACGCTGGAGCCGTCGGAGCCGCTGTCCTCGGAGCAGGAGTGGGGGGGCGCGTGGGGCGGCCGCGGGGGCCCGCTCGGGGGCCAGCAGGAGCTGGGCACGGTCACCGTGTAGTGCGTGGGGCGGCGGCGGGGCCCTGCCCGGAAGGAGTCCATCCTGGGGGCGGACGAAGACAGACGGACACCCTGAGTCTGAGGGGCGGGCACGGCGGCCAGGCCGGGCGGGAGGCCGGCCGGCGCGGACCCCAGCGAGCGGACGCTTGCATTTCTGTGCTGCTTGTTGGGGAGCGACGTCACCGCTCCACACACACTAAATCTTTGGCAGGAAGTCCCGCAGCAGAAGGTCCGGACGCCCGCTGACAGGGACGCCACGCGCAGGTGCCCTCGGGGACCTGACGCTGCGCTCCCGCGGGGGCAGCGGCTCGGCTTTGGTGGGTTCCGAGTTCGCAGCGACGAACGTCACTCACGGGACATTAAACTACGGGACTCACAGGACTCGGCGGCACGTGGTCAGAGACCAGCAGGCGGGTGCCCACCGACACCCACAGTCCGTCGCCGGGAGAACAGGGCGGCCACCGGGGGGGCTTGTGCGGAAGGACAAACCGGGGGACGTGGGGAGAAAGGGGCCCCGAGAACGATTTGCCCAGGCTGGGGCGCGGTCCCTGCTGGGGGTCCCCGAGCAGGCCGCGGCCAGCGCTGCCCCCAGGCGCCTGCCTGTGCCTAGAAGCCACCCGCCCCTGCACAGCGGGCTCTCCAAGGTGGGTCCCCCGCCCCCGGCCTCGGGGGTAGTCCGCCCTTTACCTCACGGACTGCGACTGGGCCCTCCGCCCCTGCATGTCGGGCGTGGCCGGGGCACTCGTCCGGCCCTGCCGCTGGCCGGGGACGCCGCGGACGGGGACCGGGTGGCAGGAGGCGGGCCAGTCCTGCGGCGTGGTGGCCGGGCTGCTGCAGGAGGACCAGGGGCGGGTCAGGGCGGATGCCGCCGCTCGGGGCTCACGCTGTGCGCAGGGACGGTCCCCCCGAGACCCGCAGCTCACAGCTGGGGACAGGGCGGCCCCCCAGCTGACCCCCGCTCCCAGCCCCGGCCTCCCCGACCCTCCCCCCCCACCTGGACTCGCTGCTGGAGTCCGAAGTCTTCCCCGGCTTCTGGTAGGGCTGGTCCAGGCTGGTCTCCTTCCAGGGGCCGTTCTGGATGGGGGCCGGGTCCAGGCCCCCCGGCTCGGGCCCCGCAGGCTGCAGCCCCTCCAGGCTCTGGGGCGGGGACGCCGGGGCGGGTTCCGGCACCCGGGCCTCCTCTGAAGGAGCAGAGAGACCTGTGGAGGCAGCGGCTGGGGAACCGGCCTGGCAGGAACCTGCCTCCCCCGGCTGCCTGTCCGGCTGCGCCGGCCGTGGCTCTGGGCCCAGAGAGTCAGAAACGAAAACGCCTTCTCCTCTGGGACTCAGCCGCTGCCTCCCGGCCCTGGTGGACTTGCCCTGGCTCTGGTCACCTCCCCCCCGCCCTCTGCTCCTGGTGCCGCGGCAAACCGTCTGTTCGCCTGTTTTCCGTGCCTACGTGCCCTGGTGCCTCATGGGCTCGGGCACTCCCCTGGGAGGGGCTGTCCCCATCTTGGCCGCCTTGACCCCCGCACCCTTGCGGTTCGTAAGCAGCGGTCACGACAGAGGACTTCTGCTTCCCGCCACTCTCCTCTCGCCGAGCGCAATGGCTGCGCCAGGCGGCCCTTCAGCTCCCACGGGTGCACACAGAAATCAACGCCCCAGAACAGAGCAGGGGGGCCTGGGCCCGGCTGGAACGGACCCTCCCTTTCCCGACTGGGTGACTGGGCATCTAGAAGGGAAAGCGGCCAGTGCGTCCCCATGCTCGCTGCACGTGGGCTGGGGCACGGAGACACCAGTGTCAGCTGGGGCCGGGGTGTCGGGGAGACCCGTGGGTCGCATCCACCTGCTGCCCAAAGCCTGCTCCCCAATGGCAGTCCTCGCCCATGCACTCTGCCCGAGCCCCGGGTCTTGCCATGGGGTCCCAGCCCTGACAGTCGTCCCTACACGGCCCCGCTCACCTTCCTCCAGGAGCAGCCCGTCTGAGAGGGAGCTGTCGTCCGAGACGCAGAGCTCTGGGGGGAGAGGAGAGGAGAGGAGCTGAGGCGGCCGGCCCAGACGTCGGGGCCACCAGGCCTGGCCCCGCCCTGCCCCGCCCCCTCCCCAGACCCCCTCGGGAAGTGCCTGCTGTGTGTTCAGCCCCCTACTGGTGTCCATGTATTGCTTGGAAACAGAAAAAAGGCAGAAGTTGGAAGCCAGGAGTCAGGAAACCCGATTTTCCTCCTGGCCGACGTCAGTTTTGAAACCCTGAATAAGCTGTTTCTATGCCTCGGGCCTCGGTTTCCCCTTCTGTCAGAAACAGCCAGCGTTTGCTGGCGGGGGTGGGGGGTAGCTCCGTAAAGCCCTCGGCAGAGAGGCGCTCGGCTCACTTCTGGGCTACCTCCTCGGCTTCCACAGATGCCAGGGACCCAGGTGGGAGAACTCCAGCCCCACCGCCAGGAGCCATGGAATGCGGCTCTGAGCGCGGGCCTGTGGGACCGAGCCGGCCAGGCTGGGCCGGCCGGACGAGGGCATCCAACCGGCGACAGACCCGGCTGGGCCCCAGCAGAGCAGAGGGACCTGCGCTGGCCTCTGCCGGCGGCCAACTGCGACCTCCAGATGGTGAGAATCCGCCTCACGCGACCTGGGTGGAACCCCTCCCCCCAATATCTTCAACTGGGTTTGCGGACAGAGAGGAGGAGAACGCTGCCGCCGCTAGCATTTCCATTGTGCCAGTAACCGCACGCTGGCTGTGCCGGCTCAGGGGCCCCTCCCAGCAGCCGTCTAAGGGGAAACACCGCGAGCCCCTCCGGGCACCCGCCCCGGAAACGGAGCCTGCAGGAGGGACGCCACCTCGGGGGTCAGTCCGCCCACAGGTGGCGGTCGGAACTCACGCCCTGACCGCCTGGCCGCAGCCGGGCACCCAGAAAACCCTGAAGGCGGGCACGCGGCCACCTCGGAGCTTCTTTATGACGGCGACCGGCACAGGACAGCCGTGGCCAGCTCTGGGGGGCGCAGGGGGGACTGATGCTGCTGCCGCCTCCCTCGGAGCCTCGGGGACAGCGGTGTCCTTGTGCAGGCCACCGGCCTTCAACCAGAGAGGTCGGCCCCGGAGCTGGGTCACACCCCGTGCCCCGTGCTTCCTGGGTCAGCCTCCGGCCTCGGCCTCTACTCCTGGCTGGTGGTGGCGGGAGGGGGGCTGGGAGGTGTCTGGTCACACCCTTCCTACCATAAATCAGGCGCCCATGTGGACTGCCCGAGGCGTGGGTCACCAGGCAGGGGACAGGAAGAGCTCCGCACAAGGTCCCAACTCCAAGGTCCCAACTCGACAAAGAGCCAGCCCCCCACCGGAGGGGCGGGGCTGGGGCCTGAGGGGGTGGGGGCTGCGCACCTTCAATCGGCAATCGGCCCGGCCCGGCAGTCCCGCTGAGGCCACGGCTGGAATCCAGTTCCGCCCCAGGCCCACGCCACCCCTCCTACAGCCCCCTCACCGCTGAACCCCCACGGCTGGTCCTGGGCCCTGGTAACTCAGCAGGCGCCCCACATCTGCCTGCCCCCGGGCCGTGGGGCTGAGGGGCGCAATAGGGGAAAGGGGAAGGGGTGCGCTCTTAGCCAGGTGGTCCCCGAAGGTGAAGGGACGGCGGGCAGGGCACTGCTGGGACGGGCTCCACCCTGAATGGCCCAGGGCGGCCCGGGAACTGAGCGGAATCTGCCCTGCACCCCCTCTGGGCTGGGCAGCCCCGGGGCCGGAGGGTGTGAGGGCGGGACGGTGAGGACCCTGGGAACGGGCTCTGGGCCGGCCTGGGGCGAGCCTTCCGTCCTGGGGGCGGTGGGTTCTGGAAGGATGCGGAAGGAAGGAGGGGCGCCCCCTAAGGAGCTGGGGGGCAGAGGCTGGCGGGGCGGGCAGGCCTGGGTCACCTGGGTCCAGGGCGGGCGCGGGGGCGGGGAGGGAGGCGCGGTGGCGCCGCTGCTCGCCCAGGCAGCGCTCCAGGGCGCGCAGCCTCTGCTCCTCCTGCAGCAGGGCGCGCTTCCGCTGCCGGCGGGCCTGCCGGCTCAGCCTCTCCTCGCGGCTCAGGCGGCGCGCGGCCTCCGCGATCTGCAGCTGCAGGGCCAGCTCCTGCTCCAGGCCGCTCAGGGGGTCCTGCGGGGGCGGGCGGGCAGGCGCGGGTGAGCAGGGAGCTGGTGGAGGTGCCCAGCAGCCAAGCAGCCGTTGGCCTGGAAAGCCGGCCTGGACCCACCGGGGCACTTTCCCTCCTGACCCCAGAGGGCTGGGCGGGCGAGCCCGCCCGGGCGGACTGTCACAACTCTCGGCTCAGGGGAGCCCCCTAGGAGGACCGGGCCGCCACCCTGCCGAGAGGGAGGACAGTCCGGGGGCCGCAGCGACCTGTCTGAACAGGTCACCGCCTCACTGGGCTGCTGGCTCAGCTCTTCGGTGACCTCTGCCCACCGAGGGTCGAGGCCACGTCCTCCCCGGGGCTGCCCGCTGTCCTGCTCCCTGGGGTGGCCTACTGCCCCCACGGCCACCCGGGCCACACCCTCCAGGGTGCCCCGGGCCCACACACAGCCCAGCCGCCTCTCGGGTGTGCCGGGGGAAGGCCACCAAGCACTGGAGAGGCGCACCGTGCTCAGCGTCCCCGTCCAGACGTGAAGTCTCGGCTCCGGACCCACCCTCGGGGACCCCTCACCTCCTCTGGGGTCCTCCTCGGAGACCCCTCACTTCCTCACCTCTCTGTGCAGGGCCCGCTCATCCAGCTTGTAGGCGGCTCCGATCCTGCGGCGGACTTTGGGGGCTGTTTCCCCAGGTTTGAGGGGGTACTCGGCTGGCAGGACGCCTGTCAGCTCCTGTGCCGGAGGCAACGTCCAGCTCAGGCCACGCCCCTCTCCGCTCCATTGGCCAGCCCCGGGGACTGGGTGGGCCTGCCCCTCCGGCTCCGGCCACCTGCACCCGCCGCGGTCCCCAAGGCAGTGGCACTGGTGTTCTCTAGCGCCCCCCTCACTTCCTTCAGCCTCCTCACCCCCCTCCTCCAGAGCTGCCCCCTGACCCAGGCCGCGCCTCCATCCCTCTCCTTTCCAGAATTCCCCTTCCGGCAGCCCCAGCACCCCCGACGTGGCTCCCCAGGGAGCCCCAGGACAGGGGGCGGGGGGCGGGGGGCCGGGGCGGGGCCTCACCGCCTCCCGCAGGCACAGCCCGCGCAGCTCCTGCAGGCAGGCCTCCAGGCGCGCCTCCAGCGCCCGCTGCTGCTTGCGCATGGCGTGCGTCAGCTCCTTGGCCCCCTTCAGCTCCTTCAGCGGGGACACCGGGCTGTCGGGTCCTGCGGGCGCAGGGCACGCGCTCAGGGGGGCCCCGCACAGGCCAGGCCCCCCGTAGGGAAGCGTGTGCCCCGCTCCCACACACGTACAGGCGTGTGCGTCTCTTCTCCCCCGTCCTCCGCCGGGCCGGGCGAGCCTGGGCCCGCGGCTCAGGCCCTGACCAGAGGGACTTTCCGTCTGAGTGATCATCACTGGCGTCCCCGGGGAAGACGGGGAGGACAGGGAAGACTCGGAAGACGTCTGTGCCCGATAGGATCAGACTCCAGCCGGCGCCTCGGGCGAGAGAAACTGTCCAGCCCTCCCAGTTCCCGCCCCCCGCCCTGCACCCCACCCCCGCCCACACACACAGTCCCTGAGTGTCTCCCCCTGGCCAGCCCCGGCCTGGGGGGTGGCGGCCGAGCCACTCACCAGACTGCAGGATGACGCCGCTGTCGGTGTCGCTGGCCTCGTCCTTGGCCTCCATGGTGGGCTTCTGGGGCCAGGAGGCGCGGCACCCCTCCCGGCCTGGGCCGGGCCGGGCCGGCGGCCTGGAGCTTCCCCAGCTGGAACGAGACAGAAGCAGAAGCTACGAGTCAGCCCCCGCGGCTCCGAGCAGTGCTGAGGGGTCAGGCTCCGGGGCCCCGGCTGCCTCCTTCCCGGAAAGTCTCTCACCCAAGGGGGTGGCCAGCGGGGTGGCCCCAGGAACCGCTGACCCTGGGAAACAGGTTGGCAGGGAAAGGAGCAAAAAACGGCCTCCCAGGACAGCTCGAGGGAAGGGGAGCAGGTGGGGTCCCGGCCCCCGCAGGGACCCCGGGAGGCATGAGGCCCCACTGCTGCCCGGCCGGTGAGGGAGCCCCAGGAAGTGCTGACACTGGGCACTCAGCCGGGCCCGGCCCCCCAGCCCAGGCCGCCCCGCTCCCCGACCACGGCGTTCACCCGGGCAGGTCCCAGAGGGCTGCGCCCGGCCCCGGCCAGCTCCCAGGCCACCGCCCACGCCCAGGAGACCCACCCCTTGAGGGCAGCTCGGCCTGGACCCCAGACCCCACGGCCAGGGGAGCCCCAGGAGGCCGTCAGGGCTGCGAGAAGGGCAGCGAGGAGGTGGCTAGAGCGGAGGCAGCCTGGGGCCTGGGAGCAGAGGTGGCTCGGGGACGGCCCCTGCTGTGTCTCTCAGCCCAGCTGGCACCTGTCAGGAGAGCAGCACCTGCTGCCCGCCCCCACGCCTCCCCAAATCCACGGGCGGCGCAGCGGCTGGAGTGGGGCAGGGGTGGGGAGGCGGGCGGGGCGGGCAGCCGTCTGAGAGCCCAGCCACCTCCTCACTGAGTCAGCCCGTTGAGCAACAGCGGCCCAGTCGGCCCCGGCTTCCGTCTGCAGCAGCTCACCCTGCCTGCTGGGGGCCCAGGACCCCGGGCGGGGGCACGGGGCTGCCCCTCCATCCGCCCGCCCCCCCCCCGGGGGGAAAGCCAGCGCAGAGCGGGGCAGAGACAGGCAGCAGCCACCTCTCCACCACCCGTGCAGACAAGGGGGCAGCAGGGACACGCTTCCCCGGACCCCTGTGCCCGGGGCCACAGCCTCCCAGGCAGGCGGGGGCAGGGCTCCAAACAGAAGAGGCTGATGTGGGGCCTTTGCAGGCCTGGGAGCATGTTGGGGTGGTGGTGGGGGTGCTCTGCCCTGTGCATCCCTCCCAACCCCTTCTCTCCAAGAGGTGAGGCAGGGCCCCGCACCGAGGGGCGGCAGGCACCCTCCGACCCTCCCCAGGGCCAAGGCCCGGCCGGAGCAGGGTGGTCTCGGCAGGCTCAGGACAGGGAGGGGTAAGGATCGGGCATTAGTCACACTTGCTCACTAATCATTAACCCGGAAGGAGTTGCCTTGGGGAAGTTGTGCCGCCTGGTGCAGAGGGGGGCAGCTCCGAGGACGAGGGGTGGGGGGCCGGCGGAGAGCCCGGCTCGCACCCCCAGCCCAGGTCGGCCGGGTGTGGCGGGAGGGGCCGGCTTTCGGTGGTCCCAACCTAACGCCGAGCCCGCAGCAGGGGCCCCACACCCGGGTCCCAGACTCAAGTCCCTGTCACCCCGGGAAAGTCACTGTGCCTCTCGGGGGCCCCCGACTGTCACAACGCAGGGGACACGGCGTAAAACACAGCCCTGCCACAGGCCCCTCCTCAGGCCCCGCCCCAGCTGCTCTGCCCACGGTGGGGCCCTGTCCCGGAGCCCCCCGCCGCTCCCCGACCCAGGAACCCTCCTGCCCCCAGACCCCAGTCCACAGGCCCAACTGCAAGGCCCCCAGAGAAAGGCAGAGGACAGAAGGGGCGTGGGGAGACGGAGAGACACCCACAGCAGTCCCTCAGGCCCGGCCACCGGGGTCCTTCCTTCACACGGGTGCCCCGAAGCCAAGTACTGGACCTCTGTCCAGCTCCCCCTCCTCCTGCGGAAACTGAGGCTTCCGAACTGCAGGCTCCTCATCGGGGTGAGGAGACCCACCAGCACCCCCGTCACCTCTGGGCCCCGACCACAGGAGGAGAAGACCGAGGCTGGCGGTGCCGGCCGCGGCCCCGGCCGCTCAGAGACCGGCGGCACCCCGCCCCGAGTCCCGCCCTCACCTGCTTCTGTGGTTCCTCCCGGAGTCCAGAGTCCGGCCGCCGCCTCGGAGCCCAGGTCGGGGGCCCAGGGTGTCACATGCTGCGGCCCGGGGGTCTCCCTGGCCGCAGGGGGCCTCCCGCTGCTCTGGGACCTGGCCCCCCGGCTCCCGCTGTCCTCGCGCTAACCCCGCCAGCGCCAGCGCCCGGCCCCAGCTCTGTGTCCCTGCGTCCCTCCTCCCAGGCTGCTGGGCCCGGGAGCCAGGCTGCCTGTCCTGACTTGAGTCAGAGGGCGGAGCAGGTGAGCCGGTCCCTCCCGGAACAGTCCCGCCCCGGCTGCTCCTGGGCCCCTGCACTTCCGGGCGGCAGGGAGGGGGCTCCCCGTGGGGGAGCCCCACAGGGAGGCAACGGGGTCCTGTCTGCACTGCCCTCAGGGCCCAGGGGCCACGCACAGAGCTGGGAGGGGCCCGAGGGCCCTCCGGCCCCCGCCCCAGCTCCAGCCTCTGGAGGTTGCTGCCCTTCCCCCCCAGCCTCGGTTTCCCTGTGCTGAAATCGAGGCTCCAAGGCCCCAGAAGTGGGGTGAAGGGCCACTGTCCATGGGGAGCAGCAGCAGCAGCAGCAGCAGGAAACGAGGCCGGGCCCCCCGGTCCCGCACGCCTGAGCGCCGCCCCCCAGGTTGGACCGAAAGCCTCAGGACGGCTCTGGGGTCCCAAGAAGCCCGGGTTGTCCCCAGTTTCTCTCTCAGGCATCTCCCACCACGGTCAAGGCCATCTGCTCCCCGTTCCCTGTTCCCATCGTCCCGCAGGAGGGTCCGCGGAGCGCCGGCCCCAGCCCCAGCCCCGTCCCTTCTCCGTGGGAGGGCCAGGGGACCCCGGGCTCTGAGCCCACTCCCCGCAAGCGAGGGGCCAGAGACCAACGTGGAACTTGGCTCCTCCGGGAAATAAGGCCCCAGGTGTCCCACCCCGCCGACCCCTCAGCCAGGTGCCGTCCGAACTGGGCCCGTGTCGGCGGGGGAAGCCAGAGCTAAAGCCACCTGTCGCCTGGCCCCAGCCGGCCTCACCCACCGCCCACAGCCGAGGGCCCTCCTGACCCCAACGACCTTCCGCTGTGACTCCGAGCTCTGGAAACCAGTCTCTCCCTGTGACCCTCGGGGACCCCCGAGGCAGCAGAAGACAGAGGCCGGACCCTCACCCACGGTCACAGGACCGACCCCTGCGGGCCAAAGGTCGCAGCTGCGCCTCAGCCAGGTTTCGGCTCCAGAGCCCTGAGGTGCACAGGCCCCCCTGGCCACCTTCCCCCGAAACCAGACCGAGGATGGGGGGGGCCCCCGAAGCAGAGACTCACCGGCCACTCCCACCTGCCTTCTAGCAGTCAGCTGCCGGCAGGGACCCCGAACATCCGCCCCCTCCCCAGTCTCCGGATTCCGCCCCGTGTGGCCTGTGACCTGCACACCATCGAGGGCGGGGGCTTCTTCCGCCCCCTGGACGGCGCGGCTGTCAACACGGTCTCTCCCCACTGCGGCTCCTCGGCCTGGCGTTTGGCCCTGCTGGCGCCAGGTGGGGAGGCCTCTCGGTCCCTAAACACACTGCCTTGTCCCCCCCTCTCGGATTCCTCCCCCCTCCCCCGGCCCGGCCCCTCAACATGGCTCATGGCCCCAGAGCAGGCACCTTCCCTGGAGCCCAGAGTCCCCCAGCCCCTCCCCTCTGCACCCCTGCCGCCGCCGCCGCCCCCGCCCCTGCAGCAGCCTCGCATTCCTGCACAGCCCCTCTCCAAACAATGCGGCCACTCCGCCAGGCTGACCACCTCCTCTGCCCCGCGGAGGCCGAGGGCCCCCGACAGGGGCCGCCCCCTCCCCGGTGAGCAGCCAGCCCTGGGTCAGCAGCTGGAAGCCCTCCCCACCCCCCAGTCCTCAGAAAAACAACAGCCCTCCCATCCCCTCCAGGTTTGCGCATTCCTGCCACGTCAAACAGAGAGGAGTTGACTTTGCACATGATTGACACCCTCCCCCCAGCGCCAGGTGGGAGAGGATGGAAGTTTCTAGAATCAGCTCTCGCGGCAGTATCTTTGGACGCGTACGGTAACGAGAATCGCCGAGAAGCAGTTACACTGAAACGCGGGGCGAAACCCGAAAAGCGCACAGCCGAGCGTCGACGTGACGGCACAGCCGAGTCCGTGGGGAATTTCACAGGAGCGACGAGTGCGGACCACGTTTCACGGCGGCGGCCAGCACCCCGAGACACGGGGCTCCCGCGGACGCTACCAGCGGCGGAGCCGCAGGCAGCCGGCCTTTCTGGGTTTTGTGACTGAGCTGAGGCTCCGTTTCTGCGAGAGGCGACACACAGGTTTCCCACCTAAGCTCACAAGCCCTCCGGAGGGAATCCGGGGGTTCTGGGGCCCCTGAACCCCGTGAAGAACCCCGCCTTCGGGGAGTCCCTCGTCGCGCCTCCAAAGGCCCCTGCACCCTCAAGCCCACAGGCAGCGCTTCCCAGCTCACAGGATCTGGGCTGTGGAGCTGGACTGGCTAACCTCTCTCCTCCAAGACCCCCAGGCCCACGGGGGCCGGCCGTCTGCCATTCCAGGCAAAACACCAAGGGGAGGTGGACAGCCCACGGCTGGCTGGGGACCCCACTGGCACCCCACTCCCAGCACATCTCAGGATGCCCGGCCCCAGACCCAGCACAGGGGCACTGGGACCAGCAGCTGGGGAGGACGAGGACGCCGAGTTTCCTTGAAGCACAGCACAGCACAGCACCCGGAGACACCTCTGAGAGGAGAGACCTGCTTGTCTCTCGGGGGACCCCTTCCTAGGGACAAGTCCTGCATCAGAGGGCTCCCACACCCCTCCACCACCCACTCTCCACGGCCAGGTGCCGTCTTTAAGTTGCTTCGGATCCCCCAGACTGAACTCCTTGCAGGCCAGGGCCTGTCCCGCTCCGCGCACCCCCAGCACAGGGCCCACTCGGGCGCCCCGAACTCCGCGGAATGAATTAACGACCGGCGGTCAGCGCCGAGCCCGCCGCGGAGACGCGCGAGAGGAAGGGCCCGGGACCCTGCAGGCCGAGGGGGCGGGGTGGCCCCTTCCTCCGCCGTCCCCTCCTTCCCTCTCCTCCCTTCCCGCTGAGAAAGGTGTTCACCTCCCGCAAGCGATGGTGGCGTGGCTGGAACCGGGGAACCCCAGGCCAGCAGGGAACGCGCCCCCAAACCAAACCCCGGACTTTCCTGAAAAGCCCCTTTGTCCACCCTCTCCCCTCCCCCACCACGCCCTCCGCATCCCGGCGGCGGAGACTTGGCTCCTTTTGTCTGGCTGCTTTCGGGCTTCCCGGAACCTGGCCAGGGAGCTGGGGGGCGGAGAGGGTCCAAGGAGAAAGGTGGAGGCGCTGGAAACAGCCATGTGGGGTAGGAACGCGACGTTCCCGCCCCCCGGGCGAATTTCCCCATCCTCCGCAGGGCCCCCTCCGCTAAGGCCCAGGACGGTGGGCTCAGGGGCCGATTCTCTGCTCGCCCGGCCGCGGCCCCCCGTTTCCCCCTTACCTGTCCCCCGGAGCCGCAGCGCCGCGCGCCCGCGCCCGCGCGCCCCGGCCGGGCCCCGCAGCCGCAGGGCGCGCGTGTCCAGGCCGCCGTCCCTCCCCCCGAGCCTCCCCCCAGCCCGCCCTCCCCGGAGGTATTCCATTTAACTTCGGCATTCGCAGCATCCCAAATGTTAAAGATCCCAAGACATCTGTCCCCCGGGGCGTACCAAGGCGCGGAGGAGGGGGGAAGGCGCCCGGCCGGGCTCAGAGTCCCACCCCGGAGACGGGCGGGGCCGCGTGCGGGGCGAGAGGGTGTCAGCGCGGATGGGCGGCCTGCAGGGGCTCTGGTCCCAGGGACGAGGCTGTCCCCCTGCGCCCGATTTCGGGCGCCCGCCTGCGGGACCCCCCCGGCGCGGCCGGTTCCCGCGGCCGGGGCGGAAGGAGGCTCCTCTGCGCCCGAGCGCCGCCCTCGTCCAAGCGCCCTGGCCAGGCCTGGCCGGGCAGCTCCATTTCCGAGGCCCCGGGGCGGGAGAGGGCACGGAGGCGGCGGGGGCGCCGCGCCCTCCCTGCTCCCGCGCGCCCCGCGAGCCGGCACTGCCTCCCCTCCTCCGCCCAGCCAAGCCCTCCTCCCGCCGCTGCGCACTGCGAGCCACGTGCCCAGCCCGCCCATCATTCATTCCTTCGCTCCCCCGTTCTCATTTGCTCAAGAAACTAATTCAGGTTCATTCCCCAGTGCACCCCCCACCCCCGCCCCAGACAGTGATCGAAACGCAAAGGCAGGGCCAGGACCCTGGGCGCGCTGTGGGGGGCGGGTCGCGGGGTGGGCGGGGTGGGGGGGAGGCGGCGAGTGGGCGCAGGAGGCAGAGCCAGGCGGATTTGGGAGGTTTGAGCAGGAAGCGGGGTAGCGCCGGCCGGACAAACGCTCAAGACTAGGGACCGCAGGTGTAGGAGCTGCAGGGATCTCGGGTGTGTGTGTGTGGGGGGCGGGGGGGGGGGCGGCGCCGGGAAGGAAGGCGGCGGGGAGGTCGAAGGCCGCACAGGCCGGCCGGCCCCCTGGGAAGCAGGGCTGCTGGCGCGGAGGTTGCAGGGGGTGGGGGTGAGGGGGGTAGGGCTGGGGCGGGGGCGTTGTCCTGGTCAGGCACTAAGGAAGGCTCACCCCTGCTCCAGCCTCCCAGCCCGGGGTCCCAGCCGCCCGCCCCCACGCGGTGGCTTTCTCAGACGTGCACAAACGCCTGCAGGGGCCGGGCTGGCTGCACAGCCCTGGGGCGGCCAGCGGGGGATGTCAGGTGTTCATCCTGAAATGGAAGGCTGAGAGCTTCCCAATCTGCAGGGTGGGCCCTCCGGTGGGCGACCCTGGGAAGATTTGCTGTGCGGCCCAAAGGTAGTCAGCATGCAGGACCCCTCTTCCTCAGAGGGGGGCCAGCCTCGTTTCTGTTGAGGCCTTCGACTGATTGGGCGAGGCCCACCATT